AAACTGGATCATCACACATTCATTAACTTCGCATTCAAGCTGTACCATCATTGCCTCTTCGTCATCGCATTTCCTATTGCCTCCGTTCCTGTCTAAATCACTTGACCGCTCTTTCCTTGTACAACAACCCCCTCCTCTTGTACAACCGCCATTTTATCCCCTTCTCTGTACGACTGCCCTCGTCGCCACACGTTGATCGTGTTTTATGACAAGGAATTGGATACGACGCATGTATGTACTTTTGGTCGCATTTGTACCAATCAGCGTGCACACAAAAGATTGTGTATTTTTGCCTCGAGGTCGACTTGGGGCGCCGCCGAATCAATTATGTGTGATTAGGTGTCCGGTGTCATTGCAGTCCGAACCCTCGCTATACCCAAAGAAGACTTGAAACATGGCGCTAGATTACAAACATTTCTCGGATCTTTTGCGGCGTTCAAACATGTCGCGCTACCCACTCCACCTTGACCTCATCGGTATATGGATGTACATTCTTGCTACTTGAATTCACTTTGAGCTCAGATATGGTGCCTCGCACCTTACTTCGGTGACATAAGCGCTAGATAGTGGTATATCAGGCACGAATGCTATCGTCATACGCCCACAAAGTTCCTTCGCTCGCTCACCCCATCCTCTCACAGTATGACTGTAGTCTCGAACGATCCCAGTTGGTGGCCAACCATCGATCAGAATATTTTTTACAGCTATTTCGTAGGTCCGTGGGGAGTCAGCCGCATCATGACCCCGATGAATCGATTAACATTGGCCACGGTTTCACAGTTGTCTCCTGTGCTGCGGTCATATACGATTGGGGTGAGCAATATTTAAATATAAAACACCACTGAATCGTCATGGGATTTCTAGGACTTACGTTCGCACAAGAGGTAGGTTGACACCATTGTAGGAGCAGCCATCTCGCTGACAACAGTTTTATAGGTGGAACTAATCTGGGTGAGCGCACTCTCACATGAAAAGCTTAAAGAAAATATGACAACTGACTCGCGGCAGAGGCAACGGTGGTCTATGATGACCGTTTTGTATCTCACTGTACGTAGCTTGTATTTTTTTACCGTGATTAGTGAGTTGTACTGACGGGAACGTTTCATAGGCACGATATGTTGCAATAGGATTCTCTCTGTACGTTTTGACGTTCAAGCCATTGGTGTTGCGCTCATTACCTGTCTTTCGCCATCAGGGTTAACATGTTGAGTACGTCTCCTTGCATAGATCCTGTTTCTTTCTTGTGACGGGCGGCATACAGTCAGTCTTCCGACGATTCCGAAGACAGATGTAGTGAGTACTACTCTGCACCGATGCCTTCCATTCTCATCTAAACGACTGAACTACGATGCAGGGGTGAGTGATATTCTTGAACAACTCGTTGGTTCAACATAACGACTCCCACAGTTGTGAGTTTGTTTCGAGCTTGTGATCCTCCAAAGCTGAGAACTAATTTTACTGTATTTTCAGGCCTTATCATGATCGACGTACTTAATTGGACGACTGAGGTCGTATATATAATACTCGGCGGTGAGCTATAGACCTCCATGATATTGACTTGGTTGAAACATCATGCAAGTCATCGCGATCGCTCGGTTGCATGCCATGTATCAGGGATCTAGAAAAGTGTTGATATTTCTCCTCGTCATATTTCTGGCCATCAGAATCCCCATGGAAGTGATGAATGCAATAACGACGACGCAGCTCACAGGGGGTAGGCTTTGATTATATATCAAATGCTTAAGAGGCTCACTGATATGTACCAGAGGAATACATTCTTTCCGGCATCTATAAGTGCAGAATTGGCTATCCGGCAGTTTCCATATTGCTGGGTAGCATACCATGGATACTTAGCACTGTATGGGAGGTCCTTACACTGTGTCTCGCGGTCTGGATTGCTGTCAAGCACTACCGTGAACTACGAGGACGCTCAACAGGAAATATTATGAAGAGCTTTTTCGTGGTGTTAATGCAAACTCACATTAGTTACTTTGCAAGGTGAGCTCATAATGTGAATGGATTTTCTTGTTCTGCTGAAGTTTTGCTTGCGCTAGTTTTTTGGTTGTCTCTTCCCTCCAGCTCAGTTATCTCTCTCCAAAATTTTTACTGGTATGCCGATCTATCACCGACCTCTACGTGTGACCACGATTCATCATTTCTATAGAACGAATATTCCTTTGGTGTTCAATTGTATATTTGTCTCAATCAAATATTCCAGACCGTCCAGCTGTCTGTACTGGGACCACGCCTCATCCTTAGCGTTCGGGAATATAACGCCAAGCTCGTGACCGACTCCGACATAGGAACCAATATGACTTCAATGGCTTTCGATGAACGCCTCCATGTGGAAACTAGTAGCAGCGTGTAGTACGGGAGATACTCGATGTGATTTACAATTGACAGGTCGTCTGTAAAATTTTTTTTTTAGCTTTTATTTATTCCAACTTGGTTTTGTCGTGGTACTTATTTAAATTCTTGGAAATATGTGTGAAAGAGACATATGGCTCTCGAGTCTCGACAATGTTCCTAGCAAGTTCCTAGTAATGTTTCGCCTCCAGTCTTCAAGTAATGTCGGAGTTCGAAAGTAAACAAGCAGGAACGGTTATCTTCGTCTACAACATATGTCTGGAGACTAAGGTAGAAGACGGGAAATTTCGACGAACCTCACGTGATGTGACAGATGTGTTATGCTGTGAGGATAAGTCAAGCCGAATGTCCTGCTGAATGGCACAGACTCGGAGATCTATTACTTAACTTAACTTAAGGATGATACACAACTAGACTCGTAGTGATTAAGATTGTACTATGATACATTTCAGCGGGATTGCTCCAACTCCTGCATTATGGACTCAGGAAGAATGTGATGACCACGATATTTTTTGATCGCCCATGCAGCCTGTTTTCTGTCAAGTCCCTTCTTGTAAGCATCGACGAATCTACCAGACCTGACAAAAAAGCTAAAATTTAAAATTAATCACATTGTTGAGATCCGAAAGATCAACAAACTCACCGCCGCATGGATGACTGTGGGAGTGCATTTAGCGAGTTGAGGACATTTCGTTCAAGGTTGGCTTCTGATGATGATTGTTCTTTCATACGGTACAGCCGCTTTGCATATCCCCAGCACTGCTCAATAAAATTGAGCTCACAGTGAAATTTTGGCAGGAAAATTACATTGACCCCTCGTGCATGACACATGGACTCCAAATTCAATTCGACTTTAGCGAAATCTGGTTGAGTATACATTAGCCGCCAGCAACAACAGTCAGTCCGGTCAGGAGGGCATTTGAAGTCTTTGCATTCCATTCAAAGGTGAGGGGCATTTTCATACCCGCGCTCAACAAGTATCTGAGCCATGCCTTTGAACCACCCAGCCTTTACATGTCCCTCTGCAAAATAGAGAGGTTGCAGATCCCCATTCGGTAGTGTTGCGTCTATCATTCAAATTTTTTCCTTTACTTGTTTGCCATCTGGACCAAGTACGGCCTTTCCATTGGCATCCTTGACACTTGCAGATGGTCCAAATGACTGCGACAGATTCTTCGGCATTTTTCGAGTAGCTAAAGTGTCATCGGCACGTTTGAGGTGCGCTGTTGCATTGTCAAAGACAAGCACATGGTCTTCGCCTGGATAATCTTTTTGCAGGATATCCATCACTTTCACAGCCTGCGCCACAATCTCCTGGTTTGTGAAATAACCATCTCGTGCCCTTCCAGCTTTGAACAGGACCCAAGCGCTCTCCTTTTCATCTCAGGATCGAAGCCAGCCATAATCGGCTGACACAAAGTCAGCGACCATCAAAGAAGCACCCTCCCCTTTTGGTTGAGGTAAGGCGCTTTCTGAGTCATGGACCCAACGAACTTTTCTCCGGTCGTTTGCATAGAATGTTGACTCGTCATGGAACCACATGATGGTGCAGCGCCCAGAAAACTCGACTTCTGACAAATCCTCCAAGGTAATGTCATCAGTTTTCCATTTTCGCATGTAGCACTGATAACGAGTCCACACCGGCAAAAATATGTTGTTGCGGTAGCAAACAACATCCTCATGCTCATGGCCATCTGTGTATTGTCCCTGCGGCTCCCTTTGCCAGCGATAACCCAGGCACGACATCCATCGGTCCGCTGTTCTCAATGATATCGACTTCTTGATGCCAAGACGGACACCATTCTCAGGTACACCAAGGTAATCAACAATATCCTGTGTGCAGACTGACTTCCCCACACTCTGGAGATGCAGCTGTAGTTCGGCTGCAAGGTCTTCATCATCGATGCGGGAGTATCGCTGTGGCACTTTTTGGTGAGGTAGTGCATTTCTATTATTGATGTAGGCCTTTGCCCAGCTCCACAGGCATCGTGAATGGTATGCCCCCTTACCAATGTTTTGCACTGCTCGATCAGCTGCGTTGGTCCAGTGACCACCAACAGGGTTGCTGGGATGCTTAGTGTCATCTGGGTTACTGGGAACATCTGTATAGAGCCACAAGAAATTTTTCAAGTTCGTTAGGCGCTCCCTCAAGACAGTTGAAAGTTCCAGGGCTCATCTGTTATGGTGCGGAGGTTTCAAGAGGGTCCGTAAGTCCTTGAGCACAAAGCGAGCTTCTGGGATAGTGGGCGGTTGCCTGAGCTCAAAGGAGTAATCGCGTGCACATGGCACTTGATTATGTAGGGTGGATATATCATACTGGCTTATAAGCCAAAAAATGCGATACATCCTATGTCCAGCCTATCCATTCAGTGATGTATCAATATTGGATCATTGTAGTAGTCCATGTCAGATGTCAGGCTTTCTGTTTTCAGCGCCATCCACCGGAGCAGGATTATGTGAGCCTGTTGAATACTTACTAATGTCTTCCAAGCTGCTACAGATCTGAACAAGGATCTTCCTTACTGTGGCTATGACCGGAAAAAGTCCATCAATCTCAATCATCAGAGCAGAGCGGGGTATATAGAGCAGAGTGGGGTATATATTCATTGTAGGGGAACTTCTAACTGGGTACATCAATCTACGTCATCGAGATCACATGGAGGAGCATCAAGAGTTGGACCTTGATCAGGACTTGTGTCATCTCCCATACCTGCTTTGACAATATCCCCAACATTCTTCCACTTCTCTGCAAACTTCGCATGCAGACCATGGCAAATCGCCGCTTGCCGTTTTGCATATGCAAGCAAACCCTCAGCATCTTCAGGCCGGTCTACAGTGCGTAAGGATCCCTGTGTCTCCCACCATGCCGCATGCCAGGCTAGAAATGCTAATACACGGCACATTTCTTCTAATAACAACTGGATTTCCTCTGCCCACCTGTGGTGACATGCACGAGCTTTGCAGCATTCCACATGAAGTGCTGAAACATTTAAGTGAGATTTTGAACGAAGAAGGTAGCACTACAACATGTACACTCTTGCAGGTTCTCGTTATCACCAGTAGCGATTCCACGAGTCTGCCAAATCCATGACATGATGGCAGTGCCTTGAGATTGTCCCCCAAAATCGCCCATTGGTCGAAGGTGGGCCTTCTTCAACAATTGGAAGTTGATATCCCATCCAGGGCAGCTGAATCGGTGAGAGAGAGCTGTTAAGGCCCAATGAGCATGAGTGTACTTGGCATGACTGAGGATTAGGCGATTTTCGACTGTTTGAATTGTTTGACGTGCTCGAGTGGTGGCACCTTGACCGCGGATGTGTTGTCCTTTGAACTGTATGAGCTGGTGTCGAAGGCGAATGTTGGAGCGGCACTCATCCAGTGCGTCGTTTGCCTGGGCATGACAGAGTGACCACTCAATATCTAAGAGCTTGGGATCACATGTGGAATGTTCACAAATCTCAGATGGTAGTAGGAGTGGAAAATATTCTGCGTTCTCAGAGGTAGGATTGGACTTAGGGCAGCCGCTGTCATCATCCTCTGAGGGTGTAATGAAGCCAGTTGAGTGCAGATGGGGAGTGGTAGGCATATAGAGCGCCTGTATGTTGGCCCACATATCTATACGGCGCTGAAGGGCATTCCTACGCATTAAGATCTTGGTGCATTGATTATCTGTTGAATGTTGGCCAAGGGTTGCGATGTCTGCATGGAGACGACGTCTAAAACATCATGATGATATTAGTGGAATGATCGAGTGAGTTGGATGAAGTCACTTACTGCACATGCTCAAGGTCAATACCTGTGCTGATCAAAATACTCGGTGTGACTTCCACATGAAGGGACTCAGAAACACCGTCCTCTATGTCCTTAATGCCTTGTTGTGCAAGTTCAAGGTGAACTGCTGCCTGTGTCATCTCTGTATATCATGTCAACAAAATGGAATGATTGAACACCGATCGTGCATACCATTGCTTTGACTTTCGAAAGGGTTCCGTTGAGTGTGATCGTTCTCCCAAGTGGTGATCTCTTCTTCCCATGTAGCTAGTGATGCTTGGCCCAACTCAGATGAGGCCACCGACTCCTGAAGTTATTTAAATGCCGTGCGATGCTCCTGCTCCACTTCCATGGCCTCAATAATTCTGTGAAAAAGAATTCAGCCTGACAATGATTCATCAGATACACCATGGCAGTATGATATTTAAAACACGTACCAAACACGGTAACTTTCTTCCAATTCCAGTCTCCAAAGTGGTCGTCCAGCGTGTCTCGGCGTGACCTGGGTCCCATTTCTTTGGTACTACTAGCAACACGGTTAATGTTAGCCCATCCACGTTCAGGTGCTTCGCTGTCTGTGCGACCAACATGAGGTGTCCAGTTGAAAGAGAATGCCGTCTGGCAGGCAGGAATATGAGCTGCAAGATGAAACTTGGGGACAAAGAAACGGATGATCTTGTCAACATGGCTGAAATGAAGGCGTTCAGGTAGAGAGGATACACGAGTCCATAACTTCTTGTGCCATTGACATGCGACATCATAAGAGAAGTTGATGGTGGAGAGGGTCGAGAAATGAGTGAGCGAAGAGAAGACAAGATAATCCATGTTGAGGTATCTATTGATAGTGTGAGCGTATGATCAAAGTGAACATGCAGGACATAATACTTTTCTCCTTTCTGGAGATCACCGACACCATTTGGAAGCTTGAACTTGTGTCGGGCGCAGTCTACCGCTCCGACTCCAGTTGCTGCCAGACCTTTTGAAGACTTGGTATCTGCCAAGTTGATGGCATCATGGCTTACACACTCACTGCGCTGATTCCGATGAGATGATAACTCGGTAGATACTGCAAAGAAAACATACCTCTTGGATGACCGCAGAATTTTCCTTGAGGTATGACTTATACCCACATTCTTCCACGAAGTATGCCCACCCATGAGTAAGACCAGGGTCTCTCAAATTGGTGGAGATCATACGACACTTGAGTCTGAAGTTTGCGTCGATTGCAAGGAAAAATGAATGGAGCCATCTACATAGAAATTAATGATGTCACTTGACTGCTGTACTAGTAGAGACAGACACCTCATCGCAACAGGCTCATTCTCCCAATTGTCGGAGAGATTCTTGCCTGGCTGTGGGCACGCAGGGCAAAGTACCGCCAACTGGCCTTGTTGGGTTGCTTCAACACCACCAGGATCGTGCCCTCGGCCAGCGCGCATTAGCATCTTGATATTACGCCACATAATGACCATCTTTAAGAATGTCGAATAGCGATCCTGACAAAAGCATTAGTACACAGATCTTCGAACATAAATTGAACACACCCTGATGGGTTGGATCCCAGTATTGTCTGTGATGCGTGCGAGTGTGTGATAAAACTCGTATGCGGACACTTTGGATTCAAAAGAGAGGAGGTGGAAAAAATTGAGAATGGAGAAGGTGGCAGCTGTCCTGGGATCTGTACTTGTGGCTGGAAACCAACGTGCGCGAAGCAGCTGTTTATAGTGTGAAGCCGCTGTCTCGCATCCACAAAAATCTAAACCAATCTCATGAATCCTGTGGGTGTCAATGACCACGAAATCGTTGTTACGAGCAGACTTTGGATTACGACAGTGCTGACCAGGATCATGACCAAGTTGGATACGCAGGCCAAGAGACTCTAGTGTTACACTTGAGAAAAAATCCCAGCGCCATTCCTATTCAACAGTGAGCTTATGTGTGAAGTGCGCAAGAAAATAATATACCTTGATGCGATGAAATGGAGTCTCCACATGTTGACGAACAATACACTCTTGGCAGGAAAGGTTCACTGACAAACAGTCAGTACACCTGAATGAGGCAGCCATTCCGCAGTCACAGAGACGATCTGCAGCCCACCCCCTGCCCTCCAAGCGGATGAATTCGTCCACAAATGTTTGGCATTCTGGCAGCCAGGAAAGGATGGTGTTATCCTGTTTGATAGCTTGTGAGAATTCGGGTGAATATGATGCAAAAAAAACATACTCTAGCCATGTATTTCTGTTTTTCTTGAAGATTGCTGGGGTCGGGTAAAGGTAGAGACTCCAAATATAGAGTCTCATTCCAGGGATCTGTATTGAATTCAGATGTGTTGTGATCATGTTCTGCTGAATGTGCTTGCAATGGAGTAGCAGCTTGGATGTAAGAAGTTCGAAAGTCAAAATGGCCTGCATCACTGAGTGAAAAGACTCGGTGACGGTGCACTTGTGATGCAGACTCAAAGTGGCCCAAGCTGCCAAGTCCGGTATTAAGAAGTACATGATTAGTGAGTTTGGGCTTCTTACTTGGCCGCCCTCTGCCACCAACCATTGCAATGAAAAAATCGTGTATTGGACAACTTTGAACGCCTGCAATATATAACTCTGTCATACAGTTGCCCAAGAGAAGGGTGACATTCATAAGCTATTCAGAAAAGCAATACCTTAATGTCAAAAGGACAAAGACAGACAGAAAACTACGCCAGTACCTAAGCAACTTGAAGATTCTCGTTGCGGATCATCCATAACATTGTCATGCTTCCGCCACGGCATGTTGGACACTGTAGAGCTAGCTGCACACCAGAGGTATTCACTTTGATGATCCTGGAGTATGCACACTCTGACCCGGAGTGCTGAGTATCTTGAGATATAACGGTGGTGTGCCGTGTGGGTAGAGAATGAATTTGAATACGGTTGCAGACTGTACAGAAGATTGGAGGATCCTGCCGATTCATTGCTACCGGTTCTGTTTATCATTCACATGCTACACACTTCAAGATGTCCGCGGTCAGAACATTGGCATTGGTACGTTCACCTGTGAATTTCCACCACATAATTAAGGAGCACTAAGTATGGTGCTACTGTAACATATCATCCAGCCTGTCTGACTGATACTTCAGTGTTTGATGTATGTGCGCGATTGCAAGTTCAGTTGTACCCCACGTGACATGCAGCAACACATCCTCCAAGTACCCCATCACACAATGAGTTGCTCAGCTTACTTCGTCTGCAGCCCTCCACTCATCACATACTCCGCACATGTCGGAAATTGTGTCTTGACCACGACAACCGTTCCTATAGATGTTTCTGACTGTGCAGATTGCATCGTCGATGATGGAAATGTTGCCAGGTTCCCCTCGGTCAACAGTCTCAATGTCAAAGCATTCATGAGGTACTGTTGCGACATATCTTCCAAGAATATGCTCAACATATGCATAAGGTCCAGGTAAGACGGCGAGACTGATTAGCGCATCTTTGGCGTCTTTAACAAGCTCCAAACAACCTGACAGTGTCGTGCTATTATTTGCACTCAGCTGCCGCATCTCAGAAGGTATGAAAACTTACGGTTCAGGAGATAAACTTTCACGAGCTGAGGAAGTCGGAGGAGTGTCTGTCCCTGACATTTCGCTTTTTGGGGGGGTAGGGGATTTTTTGCACTTCGTTGGAGTATAAGAAAGGCGCTGTTTGGTGTTGATCGTATCTTTGTGTCTGTAGAAATACTCAATAAATCATTACAGTTAGACAATAGGAGAAGCTTGCCTATGATAGTACTTTTTGCGTTTTTGTCATGCAGCCTGTAGCTTGGCCTCTGGAGTTGTGTGTGTAGCTGGACGACCTGCCATGGGTAATACAAGCAAACTTTTCAACCTGTGTGAATCGCCGATCGGGGGAGAAGTTGGACTTACTGGCCAATAAAAGCAATACAACATCCTTTAGTTGGATTTTGGTCCAACGGTGATTCAGTCCAACGGTGATTCAGTCCAACGGTGATTCAGTGCGAATAAATCCCTACAAAACAGCGGTTAAATCAGCCACAGTCTATTCAAACTATTGTACCGTCTTCGCTCAACTGCCTCACACTGACCACGGCCACTTTTCACTCAGTCGACCATTTTTAGGCCGTTCAGTGCGAATAAATCCCTACAAAACAGCAGTTAAATCAGCCACAGTCTATTCAAACTATTGTACCATCTTCGCTCAACTGCCTCACACTGACCATGGCTACTTTTCACTCAGTCGACCATTTCCAGGCCTCGTCCGATGGTTTCATCTCCTTAATGGATGACCCTGCGTTGGTTATGGCTCCCAGCCCATCCATGCCAACTCACCAGCTGCAACCAAGCTTCGAGGATGGGGATGAGGATTTGGACTTTGGCAATAATGCAAACAAATGTGAACACCCAGCTGCAAGTAAGTGCTCAGACTCACAGCGAAGCTCAGTGCGATGTCAGAAAACATCCTGACAATATCTAGATGATGAGCTCAAGGGATTAGTAAATGTCCTATAAATGTCTAATGATGCGTTCGGCACATGTCATGATGAAATCGACATGTCACTAGACAATTCTTATTGCAAAGGCTATAGTCATCCTAAAACAAAAAATACATGTCATATAGCATATCGCTGAGGCATGCAGATGCGTCCATTACTGAAAGGACATTCAAGAAGGTCTGTGCGTGGGACTGGTGTGACAAGGGCTACTTTTCGACTCAACTGAACAGGCACACCACCCCAAACCGAAGCTCGCCTAAAAATGTACGTGAATAAATGTTGAGCCATGGGCTGCAAGAGTGAAAGATTAACTGACATAAAAATATAAGCGCTAGATATCAAAATGGCTCCTTGCAAATGGACTAGCCCTGAGCAAGAAGAATGGTTGAAGCCATGGTACGACACTTACAAGGAAAGACTCATGCAGAAAAGCAAAAATCACCAGAATTTTTTTGCTGACCTCTATGAGCGATGGTTTGAGTCATGGGAAGAGCCTAGGCCAGAAGGGCTTCCTACCGTCAGTCCACTGAATGAAAACAAGGATAAAGTAATGGACAAGGCTAAAGAAGCACGTAAAGATGTGAGTGACTGGATTCTATTGCCGTTACGATGACATTAGCCTTACAAGTTTTATGCCTGGAAGCTCTACAATCGCTTCCGAAATTGCTTTGGCAGCACCAAGGCCGGTCGTCAAGCTAGATCAGACGCTACTGACGTGTTCAACTCTGTTCTAAAGAGTGTCATGCAGTCTGATTCCAAATCCACTCGGAATCTCCAAGAAACTGAAGCTTACTCGAAGTTATACTATACATCTCATGTCAAGTCAGCTGTCAAGGAAGTGCTTGAAAATGTGACAGAGCCACTCACAAATGGGCAGCGGATGGCGCTAGTGAAAAAGGAGACAGCAGCACTTACGAGATGGAGTCTGAAATGGTGAAAGATGAGGTGAGAAAGTACATGGATGATCAGAAGGCGGAAAGGGATAAGAACAAGGATGAGGGAATGAGTTGGAGTAAAGAGGATCATGAAAGGTAATTACTTGCATGTGTGATGTGGCATCAGCTGACCGTCAATGGCAGGAACCTAACAAAATTGGCGGTGATAGTAAACAAATTCCTGAAGGGCTTGCAAGATGCAACAGGTCTTTTATTTACTGTTCTTGCCGGTGGACCCTCACCTGAATTGAATGGGCTTATCGATGTATGGAGGTTAGTGCCAAAATTCATATGGAACGTTGCAATACTCACCAAATGCAGTTTCCATGTCGGTCGGACAAAGCTTGGCAATGACTTCAGCACGGCCTACCCACTTTTCGACAATGGTGTGATGGTGCCTTTCTGTGATCACCTCTACCATGTCTATCATGAGTGTCAACAGTATCTTTTAAGTGCAAGAACACTCAGTACTCACCTCCCAAACCAGCTGAAGCAGCTGCGCTGATGCAGTCAGTCAAAAATGGATCTCCAAATTTCAGAAGTATTTCGGACCATGACACATCCCAACCTTCATCACTTCCGTCATCTTCTTTGCACCCCGCATGGCTGAGCCTAATACCTTCATCTGACGATGTATCACTTCACAACTCTTTGGCTCCTATTCAAGAAACCTCTGAATCACATTTCGGCAATGGTTCAGACGAACCCTTTTGGGAGTTTGACAACATGCTGGAGAAAATGTCACAAGGCACCCCATCAACGTCAATGGGCATATTTTCCAATCCCCCACCAAATGTCCCTTCTGATCAGGAAGCAGTTTTACCTGCTTTTCCCTCATGGACATCGCAAGCACTAGTCAGTTCGTCTCCTGATTCTATCCAACTCACCCTGCCCAACGATTCTCATAGTGCTGCAGGAATGCAACATGACTCTGCAGTACTCCCCTCCAATGACACTTCAGATGGGCAAGAATGACTTCCCTCTGTTGACACACATGAGCAAGTACTTCCCTCCATGAACGGTTCACATGTACAATTACAATCCCCCTCTGTCAATATGCACGAGCAAGTACTCCCCTCCATCGATGGTTCACATGGGCAAGTACAACTCCCCTCCGTCAACACTTCGCATGGACATGTCCCTCATGTGGAGAGTGAATCATGCCTTCGTCGCACTGGTCGAGTGCACAGACCCTCCACCCGCAACATGGTGGCTAACGCTATTGGTGGTAACCATGATGAACATGCTCATTCCACAAAGCGTGGCCACGACGAGAGCAATAGTAACCGGAAAGCAAAGTATGTTGCCAGCAGCGTGATCTCCAGTGTTTATAAACTAATGACTTGCATGTAGACGGACCAGGGCTTGATTCTGCTATGGGTTGTGTTGAGACAGTGTTATGTGCGCGCCGTTTCATAGCTCTGAGATTGCGTGCCGTTTTTGTTGTTTTCCTGATGTCTACTAGTAACTACCTTATCATATATTCTTGAATGAGATAATGTCTTGATCTTCATGCTCTCTCTTAGTTAGCCTCAAGCAGTCATACATCTTGTGTCTATAACTCGCGCTTTAAACTTAGTGTGTAGCTTGAGTGGTCAGGCGCTCGGACTTGATAAAATTTCCTAGCCAGATCTATATTTAGCTAATGCATCATGATGGATACTAACACAGACTGCGATATATCAAGGAAAGATATGCAATAGCTAGGGCACACGCGCAGGTAATGGGGGTACAAAAGCAGTACAAAAAGAGCTAAAAAATGCGGACACCGGCTCGAAAACATGTTGAACAGTAGCTCGAAAGTGTGATGTCACTAGCAACCTAGATGATGATTTAGAAAGGTGTCAATTGAGAGAATGAAGTACTTACAAGAGTAGTTGCTTTCTCGTCGTGTCTTTATCAGTCAGTGTGAATGAATCAATATGAGAAACATCATCTCCTCGTCATATTCCTGCAATGGACATGAATATATGCGCGTGAAGATGATGTTATGACATACCGCAGCCTTACGCTGTTCTAACTTTGAAACTCGAGTGGTTAGTTTTGTAGCTTTGGAATCCTTCGGGGCTTCGCGAGACAAAGGTTGCGCTCAGTGATGCAACATCGATGAGGCCTAGGTATGACCAGACTCGGAAGGAAGGTGGAGAACAAGCGGAAGAGATGAAGGGATCGGAAATCCACCCAGCACACGGCGCCGAGCTGAGTGACTGAAGTATAAATAACTGCTTTATGTCCAAAAGAAGAAGAAGGCAAACCAAGGAACAAGAAGCGCTGGCATTTGATGACAAAGGGTACACCGGAGGGAAGAAGTGAGGGGACCGGGCGAGAATCAAATGCAGCTCGAATACTGTGATTTGTCAGCTAAAAGAAGCCAGGCAGCAGTTCCAAGCAACTGGATGGGGTGATGTATCACTGATACATCATTGTGGACAATGGGTCAGTAATCCATGGGATGTATCGCATTTTATGGCTTATAGCACATATATGATGTATCATTATAGTGCTATTGCCTGCAGATGGTGCATTCTGATGGTTGCCATCATCAGCGCCTGCTTCATTCTGATTGATGCCATTGTCAGCGTCTGCCTCATTCTGATTGATGCCGTTGTCAGCGCCCACCTCACTCTCATCATCAGACTCGCTCCTGGCATCCATATCATTCCCATCGAATCTCGGTAAGTCTTCCTCATCAACGGTGCAAATGGCATCATTACTCATCACACCAGGGGCATCACCAATCTCTTCCAGAAGGAATGTGCCAGCAGGCTAATCTCTTTCGCGCCAGCGCACTCCTTGGATCGCAATGAGGTCATCCCCCTCTTCAACTTCCTCGCACTAAACTCTTTGAGCTCCCCGCACTGAAACACCATGCTCGACATCTTCAAAAGCAACAGGCCCATGTGCCTGCTGAAAACATCAAGCCTTCATGTCTGGTTCTTATTATTTGATTTACAACTTGAGCGTGTGCCTTCTCCAAGCTTTGTTCAACTTGGACCCTAGCTCTCTTTGACTGTAAGTTCGAAATCCATATGCTGTGGAGGTGTTTGCGTGGTGCCATGCCTTCTGTGAGCCGAGTTGCTGTGTTTGTTGGAGTTGTAGTTTTGACTTGCGAATCTAAGCTGTTTGGTGCAGAGCTGTAATTAACTACTAACTCTCTCATTTCTGCAGGTAGTTCTATTCTGAAACCACGAAAAGTTTCGTTTTTCATTTATCTAGCGAATGGTGGAACAGATTTTTGAGAACTAGAGTTACTGAATTGTTCACCTATGATTCCCACATATCTGAATTAGTAAAGTGGCCTCACGGCACTCTCTCTGCCACTTAATTAAGCTTATTTGCATTGGTATCGAGCACCGGCAGTGCGCCCCAGCTGGTCTCAGTCACTTATGAGTGTTTTCTCCAACAGCCTTGACTTCTCTTTCCGGTATGTCTTTCCCAGGCCGATTTTGGCAATCGTACTGACACAAACAATGTCGCCAATGCCTGCCAAACAGCGTGCTCACCGTCTACCATGATGAGCTCCCACCTCCCGCCAAATTTCACCATTTCTTCCAGCATTTTTGGTGGTACACAGAGACTATAGACCCGTCTCTATTTCTACATCATTGGACCGAGTCTGGCTCTGCTTCCTGCACACATAGCCCCTGCAACAAATCAACAAGGTAACGTTAGACACTTCATAGCCTGCTTGTTGCCGCTAACGCTCACTACAGGGACTACACATCATCCATGCCTGGTACACGAAGACTATATGCCTGTCTCTATTCCTACGTCAACGGACCGAGTCTGGCTCTGCTTCCTGCACACATAGCCCCCGCAACAAATCAACAAGGTAATGTACAACACTTCATAACCTGCTTGTTGCTGCTAATGCTCACTACAGGGACTACACATCATCCATGCCCGGTACCCAAAGACTATACACCCGTCTCTATTCCTACGTCAACGGACCGAGTCTGGCTTTGCTTCCTGCACACATAGCCTCCACAACAAATCAACAAGGTAACGTACGACACTTCATAACCTGCTCATTGCTGCTAATGCTCACTACAGTGACTACACATCATCCACGCCCGGTACACGAAGACTATATGCCCATCTCTATTCCCACGTCAATGGACCGAGTCTGGCTCTGCTTCCTGCACACATAGCCCCTGCGGCAAATCAACAAGGTAACGTGCGAAATTTCATAATGTCCTCTTGCTGCTAACGCTCACTACAGTGACTACACACCATCCACCTGTTCCCCATGCCTGCCAGTCGCAATTCCCTGGGTGGCGTTTCAAGACGATGCATTGTTCATGTTGGTGGCGGGGGAAAAGTCAAAACACTGCATGCTGGAGCCATTCGAGAACGTGAACAGGACGCCCATGAAGTTTGCTCTGCTCTCCTCAAAAGTATGTCCCATTCATACTTCCATTATGTTTCTCCTGATGCCGTCTCTCAGAACTTCCTTTGGTGGAGCGTGAGCATTTGTTAAGCACAGAGAGTGGTGGACCGAACATGTCATTGCAAACGCCATCGGACAATTTCGACCTCACTGACTTCTCGACTTATTTCATGGATGTAGATTCTATGGTCCCTACTCCCGGCAAGGAAGGGTTCTCAGTCAGTCACGGTGGAGATGAACTTTTACTCTACCGGGAGCTCGAGACGCTTACAATGACAAAAACACGGTATTACTTCGTCTATCTCTGCATACGATCTTCTCTTACTAAATTGATGAATAGACGACTTGACACCCGCGATCGCAGCAGACGAGTGGCACATCAGGTCGCAGAGTGGACATCACAATATGATGATCTCACAGATGCTTTTTTGGCATACAAGCAGGCCTGCACTCTGCCTCCAATCTCTGACACTGAGTCGGAGAATTTTAGCATTGAAGTTGTTGATATTTTTGGTATGCTGTCTATTACAGTAGTGTTCGCACATCTAATGTTCTCTTAGAGCGTTGTGTCCAAACTTTTAGATCACTTTCTCCATTCATCAATGTGTCCTTACTTCGTTATGGCTGCATAGGCAGTTCGCCTACTCGCCCAATGGTTGCGATCACCATTCATACCCTTGACGTGTTCCGACAAAGTCATCGCGTATGCCCAAGGTTCAGTATCCACGCTGCATCAAAGATGCTTTGCTTCATGCATGACGTGAGTGTTTTGTCACCCTCTCATACATATTCTTAGATTGCCCTAGCTTAGTTATCATCGGCACCTAGCCGAACAGATGCGCACTGCATTTGATGTCTATCTTTAAATACATCGTCGCATCAATAGCTGACTGGACAAGTTCCTTGGACGTGACACAGAGAATTGGCACATGCTCAATTCTTGCCCAGCTTGCCAATATAAGCTGGTCGATGAGCCGACTCTGGACTTCTCGATTCTGTGTGCATGTGATGGGAATAACTCAGCAAAACTTGTTGATCCCGCAGTACGTAGCGGTGAGGAACGTCTTGACCCTCGCTCAGGGCTATCGCCAATCTGGCTCATGGAGTCGTACATTGACCAATTTAAAGACAAAGTCCGATCTCCTCGGGCACATCAAGCTAGGCAACAACCTAGTGACCCTGATGATCCATGGATAGATGAACCGGACTCGAACGATTCTGCAGAGCCACCCACAATATGTGTTGACCGCTGGCGTAATGCAGCGCCCAAATCACGCAAGAAAATGTTCGCTATATTTAAGAAGTCTGGGATATTTGTCACAGTGTGCCAACATGGTTTTCTCCTTACCATCTGTGATATGGTCCGAAGCGGCGAACTGTATTTCGGTTTCACTTATCTGACGTTTGATATGCAGGCTAATGCATTGACAGGATGAAATACCCGATCGCTAGCATGAAGAAGCTCATGGACGTCTTTGGCAGCAATATACTTTATGGGTATGATATCAAGTGTGCCTTCGAAAAGATTATATGACGGAGTTCACTTGCTGATGATGCAAAATGCCTAAACCTGCAGGGCATTGTGCCTGCCTTTCACGGGCATGCTCACAACTGTCTTTGCCAAGTAGAGCACCATTCGAAGTATAAAGTTGGCGCTGGGAAAGAAGATTTCAAGACCTGTGAACTGGTCTTCTCTGAATCTAATGCACTTGCTGCCCAAATTCGAAATGCCACAGATTTCCATCGCCACCAAGCACTTGATCAACATTTCTCTTTTGCTGATTTGAACAAATATGCAGCCCTATGTATGTCACATCATTTTTGCAGAGTTCGTGCTAACGCTGAATGTAGCTGACTTCATCTATAATAATTACGTCCAAGCGCTGACAATTATCTCTACAACAAACGTGTTCCTCGCCAACTTCCATGCGTCAAATGCTGCCCTCAAGCCCAACTTTGAAGATGATCTCAAGGACGAGCACCAGGTTTTACAATGCCTTGCACGCAAGAAGGAAGAATCCAGCATTGAAGTTGACTATGTGAAAGCATTGAATGAGTATGACAAGGCCCAGTAAGTTTTTTGTTTGGCCACACACAGAAACTGATGTTAATATTATGTAAGGCATTCATATGAATCCGTGCATGTGGAGTTCAGTACCCTTGATTTACGGCTCAATTATTCTACAAGGGAATCTGGTGACATACGCCGCCGTCATTCGCATGCTACTAACAAACACGATCAGAAGCTCGAGGTTGTCATCAATTATGAACATCAAATGGCCCTTGACTTGAGATGGGGTCCAGACCACCCAGAGCAGATCAAGGCACAATCACGCATTACCAATCGGCTGTTCCACAAGGCTGTAGATGACGTTGAACGTCTTGTCATCATGCGTCTGCTTGAGTTGACTAAGCTGCAAATGAGTGGACTAGGTAAGACTTGACAATATATTTCACATTTTTAACACTTGTCTTCGTAGGTTATAAGCTTCGCACTCAAATCTCCAAGGCGCTCAAAAGTCGTGTGAATGCAATTCGAAACGCCCTTACTCGATACAACAAATATGCTGCTCTCCTAAGCCCTCCCCGCCCCCCATTACAATGGGACCAGATTGTAGAGTATTCTTTCCTTGCCAAATTTGACTTGTTACAGGAAACAGATGGGGAGATCCAGTCAAAGATATGGGCCAACCCATCTTACCGACACACGTCTACACAATATTTTGAGCACCAGCGTGCTAATGAAGAGATTCGTCGGCTGAATGTCGAGGTTGGACAATTACTCACAAAGATGCGAGATGATGCCATTGATTATCCCCGCACCATCGCACAACTTCAGTCCAAAGACCCACCCCTTGCAGCCGAACTCCAGCGTCGCTGGACACAGCTTCGGTGCATCAATGCACGTCACATTTGGCACATGCCGCAGATTATGCAGCTTCCTGGTTACAGTGGGCCAAAGAGTCCTGGCACTCGTGTAGGTCGGGTTGATGTTGCGTGTGCTTATCCCTATGAAGCTGTGCCACATGAACAGGATAGAGAGGACGGAGATGGGGATGACACAGAGCTTGGGCAACAGTTGGAAGATGTACAAGCTTACATCGAGGGACTAGATCATCACCGTGTGGACTTGGAACTTACAGAATAGTCATACCATTGTTGTGTAATAGATCACAATATGCCTTCGCTGGATTGTGTCATTGGACCATGAAAATGAAACATCTGGAGCACCGCACATATTTGAATTCAGTGACTCAGACAGTATGCTAATATCTGTGCATTGATGAAAGTGAGAATTTACGATGCAAATTTGTGGTATATAATTCAGTACTTGATAGAGTGAGTTACTGTATCATTACAGCACAATATTAAGTCATTCTATTGTTGCAGTGCTTGAACTCACTCTATCAAGTACTGAATTATATACCACAAATTTGCATCATAAATCCTCACTTTCATCAATGCACAGATATTAGCATACTGTCTGAGTTATATATTTGCCACACTGCATCTTACAAATGCTATTGCCTCATTGCAACCTAAGGCTGGTCTCAGTCTGTCCATCATGTCCTCTAACCTGTTAGACTGGAAGTCCTCTACATACAACAGATCTCCTACAGTTGGTGGCTTTGAAGAGTGCAAGGTTCTATTTCCTTGCCCTGAATATATTCAATCAATTGCTGGATACGACCATCGCTGGAACTCAGTGCTCTTATCTTTGGTTACTCATGGATTTCACAATGATGACGGGCATCTAGAGCAGAACAAAGGCTTTCATCCACTTACTAGCGAACACTATCTCACTGGGTTTTCTAAAACTCAGACGGCTACAGAGGAGCAGAGGCTAGATAATTGGAGGGCTTGAGCGATTCATGCAGAGCAGATATTGCACACTATATTTGACCTAGCAAGTGTCATCTCCTATCCAGACCTTTCCTTCCGCTGAACTGCATGTTCAGTGCACTGCTTTAGATAGGTTGACAGGTGGTTCAACAATTGTCCTGCATCATCCTGGTGCTACACCTCCAGGCTTGGACATCTCTCCTGAGAACCTCAAGGCTGAAGTCTATATCAATCCCAAAGTGCTCTCGGAGCATCGTGAGCTTCACTTGGTTGTCGCTCAAATTTCTCAACTCTTCATCGCTAACTACGCAACACCTTTGGCCCAAGCCTTCGCAGAAAATCGTATTCGCAACAATTGGAAAGGCAGTGGCCCAGTCTCTCAAATGCCTTCGAAAGGCAAAACAACGTCAAAAGGCAAACAAGCTGATACCACACCTCTTATTCCCTCACCTATTTCACCATCATCAGCGCATTTCACTTTTTATGGACGTCCTCGAGGCTCTTTAGAAGGTCTCATGACTTCGACCTCCAATATCTTATTGTATATACCATCCTACGACAGCAGAATCACGTGGAAGCCAACTCAGATCCGATTAATGCATACTCAGGAGAGCAAGGGTCATCAGGTCCGCAAAGAGGGACCAAGTAGGAGGACTGTCGTATTAGCACATGATCACAGTGCATGTCAGGTAAATTTAAGTTTGTTTTCCCAGTGGCACTATCGTCTAACTGGTCACTCAGCCAATGATCCCTGCCATTTTCAACCAGTCCTCAAGCAGTGACTAGGCTGAGAGATGTTACCCTGCGTCAAACAGTGACGATATATGTTACCCTCCTTCAACAAGTGACCAGGCCTGGAGACATTACCCTCCTACAACTCCTACGAGGAGCAAAAGCACATCCTTCAAATTACCCACACCCACGTCGATCACTGCTAGGCCCCCATCTGATTTGCGGCATTATAGTGTGCTGACGCTTGTTCCTTTTGGGAATGAAACGGAGGTAGTCCTAGAAGAGCTAGGCTACCCAGATCATTTTCATCAGGTCTGCATATCAATCGGCAAAGATTACCTTCCAAAGCGGTGGTTTTTGAAATTGCAGGAAGTTGCTGAGATCTTGGAGGAGCACGCAGAGGCTATTGCAAATGCTATGTTGACTGATTCTCAGGTGTCGCTCTCATAATACTTTTTGTAACATTGTTTTTTTAATCTGGCCTTGTATGATTTGTTTAAAATGCTATTCGACCTCTCAGCCTGTCACCTCATTCCCCGTCAGAATCACTGTGATGGTGCTCCCAGGAACTGCTCGCTCGCACAATCCTCGCTGGTTGGTTCCTTGAACACGCACCCCAGTATGTCAAAGTATCGAAAGAAGTACGTCAGCAACTGACAGAGCGGCAACGGGCTAAATGCCTTGATGAGGACCAAGAGGTTCGAGCCATTCTCAATTACATTAATGCGAAGGCCACAGATTTGGCAGTCTAAGTTTAAACAACCTCGACTGCCGCTACCTTGAGAGGTTATCGCTTGGTTCTGTTATCCACCACCACAAACGCAACAAGACAAGTGCCTGGCATGCCTATATGCACTTCAAAGGCATCCAGAACAATGCCAGTAAGTTTTTCCCATAGTACGACTGCTGCGTTTGATGCTAACTACGGCTGTTCTAGACAAAAGCTTCAGTGAGAAGTCAAATATCGCTGATCTCGCGAAGGGCGAAACTAAGTACCATCAACTTACCACTGAGGAGAAGGCGCAGCTTATAATTGACTTTGACAAAGTCAAGAAGAGTTCTCAGGATCGTCCTCCGAACATCACTACTAGATCGCGTGCTGCTAATGTTCCCAGAGCTTCCAGTTGGTGAGAGAAGAGGTGTGTACTCGCTGCCTTACCTTTGGTTGTCTGTTTGACCAATACTTCATGCAGCTCGAAGCTCTCAAGCCTCTGTACTTAGCCAATTGCCCTGAGAATCTACAAGGTCCCTCGCACAGAGTGCTGAAGTACTCGTCCCGTCATCGTACCATCAAATAATTGCCCTGAGAATCTACAGGGTCCCTCACACAGAGCACTGAAGTACTTGCGCCATCATTGTACTGTCAAATGAAAGAGTCGAAGACTGCGACAGTGTTGAACGTGTTCCCACAGAGTTGGTTGATTTGTTGCGGGGGCTTTGTGTGCAGGAAGCAAAGCCAGACCGGTCCATTGATGTAGGAATAGAGACGGGTGTATAGTCTTTGGGTACCGGGCATGGATGATGTGTAGTCCCTGTAGTGAGCATTAGCAGCAACAAGCAGGTTATGAAGTGTTGTACATTACCTTGTTGATTTGTTGCGGGGGCTATGTGTGCAGGAAGCAGAGCCAGACTCGGTCCGTTGACGTAGGAATAGAGACAGGCATATAGTCTTCGTGTACCAGGCATGGATGATGTGTAGTCCCTGTAGTGAGCGTTAGTGGCAACAAGCAGGCTATGAAGTGTCTAACGTTACCTTGTTGATTTGTTGCAGGGGCTATGTGTGCAGGAAGCAGAGCCAGACTCGGTCCAATGATGTAGAAATAGAGACGGGTCTATAGTCTCTGTGTACCACCAAAAATGCTGGAAGAAATGGTGAAATTTGGCGGGAGGTGGGAGCTCATCATGGTAGACGGTGAGCACGCTGTTTGGCAGGCATTGGCGACATTGTTTGTGTCAGTACGATTGCCAAAATCGGCCTGGGAAAGACATACCGGAAAGAGAAGTCAAGGCTGTTGGAGAAAACACTCATAAGTGACTGAGACCAGCTGGGGCGCACTGCCGGTGCTCGATACCAATGCAAATAAGCTTAATTAAGTGGCAGAGAGAGTGCCGTGAGGCCACTTTACTAATTCAGATATGTGGGAATCATAGGTGGAATTGTTACAGTCGTGGACAAACAAAGTCATCTAGTTTGGTGACTGAATTTTGTAGCCTTACCAATCTAACAGGAAATGTCGAAAATAGTATAATAGTACTCTAAACAACATTTAGAACACAATGGTATGAGCCAATTTTTCATAACAGCATATTTGACTTTTTGGGTGCAAAAATTTGGCACACCCCCAAAAAAATTGCTAAAAATCATGAAAAAATCAGAAATGAACTCCTTTCATCAAGTCAATGTCGAAGCTATACTCAGAAGGTTATATGAGTGGAGTGAAATGGCGCCCGAAAAATTCTTTCGTACCTCTCATCCCAACTATCATGGCTCGTGGTCATTGCGCAATACAGTCATCCCTTACAATAATCCCGACATTTCAAAGTGTGGACTTGTTCAGAAGATGACGGACACATCCGGGAAGCCAAAGGGCCTGAAAATGGTCCTTGAAGAGCGCAGATTTAATGTGGATGGCATGCGGACAAAGTGCTCACCTGTCTGTCCCATCAACAACACGGATTGTTGCATGGCATGGCTACTGAGTCGACAGGATGACTTCCACTGTCAAATATCAATGCTCGAAGAGCTCATCAGCGGCGCAGGACATGAGTGTATCTTTCTACCAAAGTTTCACTGCTAGCTCAATCCAATTGAGATGGTGCGTGGATCACTTTCTAGACATTGGAAAGTGTTTGATTGTCAAGTCAGTACTGGGGTTGGTGCAAGTATTGTTATCGTCAAATGTTGAAGCCAAATTTTGCGGCTGCAAAACGAGCGGCACAGGAAATCTTAGATTCATGTCCAGTTGAGGTTATCTGGCAGTTCATCAATCGGACATATCGTTTTATGAGTGCATATAGGATTGGATTGACTGGAAAAGCAGCAGAATGGGCTGTCTGTGAACAGAAGCGACACTGTCAAGTCACTCAGCATGCGATGATGGCAATTGAGGCAGTCTTGTCGTAGGTAGTAGCGTTGTTCAAATGACCAAAAAATTTGGCACACTAAAAATGTCGTGGGAAAAGATTGAAAGAGTCGTTTTTAGACCTATTTTGAGGTCCTGAATCCGAATCTGATGTTAGTTTGGCCCAAAAAATTCATATTGTCGAGATACCAAACTAGATGACTTTGTTTGTCCACGACTGTAATAGATTTAAAGCTCGATGTCACTCATTCGTCACGATTATCACGTGAGGTTCGTCGAAATTTCCCGTCTTCTACCTTACCTTTGATCAGCAGTGTGCGTTGAATATTAATCTTGGTTTGATCGACGTAGACCTTGGACGCGCCACGCGAGTATTTTCTCCTTCATCTGGCGAGCTCTTTCTTTCCCCAAGATGTTCTTTCCTTTCCGGTTGACGTATCTTTTCCTTTGCGTCTCTTTTATTCAGCGTTCGCAGGTTGCTACTCACTTATGGTTGCTTATTTTTCTCAATATTCTCTAGCTGTCGCCTTTTTGAAAACCGACCTGGTTTTGGTACTTTGTTTACATTTTGTCTTGTTCGCCTTCACCTCGCACTCTGACGTCCTTCCTATTTCCTCCGCTTATCTCCTCCCGCCCATCCCTTCGCTCCTGACCTGTCTTTTTCGTTTTCCAATCGTCAAAGGTATGTATCGCATGTCTCTCGCCTTGTATCTGCTGACGATCCATATTTCATTCTGCATTTATTAGGACGCCTACACACTCGCTCGTTCGCCATTACGCATGATAATGCGCTCCTTCGTTCTCCGCTTTAAGCAACCACTGTCACTCTCGCTCTGCCACAAAACACGCAGTTCACACTCCCTGTTTTTTTTTGGGTTTCTTGATCTCATCAATATCGGTCTGTGCGTCTCCTTGGGACGGGTTTAGATTACAAATAGAGGGAAGATTTCTATTCGATTCTCACTCTCCAGCTATTCGCTCCTCAAGCTCGTCGACGAGCTTGATCTTCTATCACCAGTGTATTTATTCAATTCCGTCATTACTTGCTTATGAACCACCAAACTGGATCATCACACATTCATTAACTTCGCATTCAAGCTGTACCATCATCGCCTCTTCGTCATCACATTTCCTATTGCCTCCGTTCCTGTCTAAAACTACCGCTCTTTCCTTGTACAACAACCCCCTCCTCTTTTGTACAACCGCCATTCTATTCCCTTCTCTGTACGACTGCCCTCGTCGCCACACGTTGATCGTGTTTTATGACAAGGAATTGGATACGACGCATGTATGTACTTTTGGTCGCATTTGTACTAATCAGCGTGCACACAAAAGATTGTGTATTTTTGCCTCGAGGTCGACTTGGGGCGCCACCGAACCAAACCTGTGTTAGATCAGTGATTAGATGACATCAACGGGCCGGTGTCATTGATGGGCCGAGGCAGTCCGAACCCTCGCTATACCCAAAGAAGATTTAAAACATGGCGCTAGACTACAAAGAGTTCTGGGATCTTTTGCGGCGTTCAATCATTTTCGCACCTTACTTCGGTGACATAAGCGTTAGATAGTGGTATATCAGGTACTAATGCTATCGTCATACGCCCACAAAGTTCCTTCGCTCGCTCACCCCATCCTCTCACAGTATGACTGTAGTCTCGAACGATCCCAGTTGGTGGCCAACCATCGATCAGAATATTTTTTACAGCTATTTCGTAGGTCCGTGGAGAGTCAGCCGCATCATGACCCCGATGAATCGATTAACATTGGCCATGGTTTCACAGTTGTCTCCTGTGCTGCGGTCATATACGATTGGGGTGAGCAATATTTAAATATGAAAAACCACTCAATCATCATGGGATTTCTAGGACTTACGTTCGCACAAGAGGTAGGTTGACACCATTGCAGGAGCAGCCATCTCGCTGACAACAGTTTTATAGGTGGAACTAATCTGGGTGAGCGGACTCTCGCATGAAAAGCTTAAAGAATATGACAACTGACTCGCGGCAGAGGCAACGGTGGTCTATGATGACCGTTTTGTATCTCACTGTACGTGCCTTGTATTTTTTACCGTGGTTAGTGAGTTGTACTGACGGGAACGTTTCATAGGCACGATATGTTGCAATAGGATTCTCTCTGTACGTTTTGACGTTCAAGCCATTGGTGTTGCGCTCATTACCTGTCTTTCGCCATCAGGGTTAACATGTTGAGTACGTCTCCTTGCATAGATCCTGTTTCTTTCTTGTGACGGGCGGCATGCAGTCAGTCTTCCGACGATTCCGAAGACAGATGTAGTGAGTACTACTCTGCACCGATGCCTTTTATTCTCATCTAAACGACTGAACTACGATGCAGGGGTGAGTGATATTCTTGAACAATTCGTTGGTTCAACATAACGACTCCCACAGTTGTGAGTTTGTTTCGAGCTTGTGATCCTCCAAAGCTGAGAACTAATTTTACTGGATTTTTCAGGCCTTATCATGATCGACGTACTTACTTGGACGGCTGACGTCGTATATATAATACTCGGCGGTGAGCTATACGCCTCCATAATATTGACTTGATTGAAACATCATGCAAGTCATCGCGATCGCTCGGTTGTATGCCATGTATGAGGGATCTAGAAAAGTGCTGATATTTCTCCTCGTCATATTTCTGGCCATCAGAATCCCCATGGAAGTGATCAATGCAATCATGACGACGCAGATTTCAGGGGGTAGGCTTTGATTATATATCAAATGCTTAAGAGGCTCACTGATATGTACCAGAGGAATACATTCTTTCCGGCATCTATAAGTGCACAATTAGCTATCCGGGAGATTCCCTATTTCTGGAGGGCATGTATTGGATACTTGGCACTGTATGGGAGGTCCTCACACTGTGTCTCGCGGTCTGGATTGCTGTCAAGAACTACCGTGAACTACGAGGACGCCCAACAGGAGGTATTATGAAGGACTGTTTCGCGGTGTTAATGCAAACTCACATTAGTTACTTTGCAAGGTAAGCTCATAATGTGAATGGATTTTCTTGTTCTGCTGAAGTTTTGCTTGCGCTAGTTTTTTGGTTGTCTCTTCCCTCGAGATCAGTTTTCTCTCTCCAAAGTTCTTACTGGTATGCCCATCTATCACCGACCTCTACGTGTGACCATGATCCATCATTTCTATAGAACGAAAATTCCTTTGGCATTCAATTGTATATCTGTCTCATTCAAACATTCCTAACGGTGCAACTGTCTGTACTGGGACCACGCCTTATCCTTAGTGTTCGAGAATATCACGCAAAACTCGTAGCTGACTCCGATACAGCAACGGTTATGGCTTCGATTTTTTTCCAGGAATGCGTCCATGTGGAAAATAGCTGTAGCGTGTAGCGCAGGACATTCTCGATATGATTGCTTTGTAATGGGCAGGTAGTCTGCAGAGAGTGGAAGAATTTGTTTTTATGTATTCCAGGTTCTGTTGTGGTACTTATTTAAGTTGTTCAATGTTGCAAAATAGATATATTCCGTACAGGAGCACTTGACGACCTACGAGGAGATATCTATCCCGACGCTGAGCTTCATGCACGCGATCTTGGTAGTGCTGTCATAGTCGTAGCGGCTGGTGGAAGCTTGTTCACCCCTAATGCCATCCCTGAAAATGGGAGCTCGTATGAGGAGTACTATTCAGCATCCCCATTCGCGCTAGCCGTTCCAGAGTCACGCACTGAGCACCTTTACCAGGACTTTGGCTCGTTGATTAAGCTACTATGTTGTGCCCAAGCGGATCTGGTACTGCAGTGCCATCAACGGCGTTGAAATTGGGACGACGAGAGTAAATAGCACGCGAGTGCAGACGGCCCGACTTGGAGCTAATTTCCAGGTGTCGTTGAAACAAAATGGATGATTCAGGGTAAGGAACAAATGAACAATGATTAGACAAAATTTGCACGAAATTTTGAAGTCGAAGGAGTGGCATATATACTCTCTCGTTCGTCACTGACATGAGAGTATACTTACATATCACTGAGTACATGAATAAATCCTACTCGTATTCAAGGAAATATGCCTGAGCAGTGTGGTGTTTGTTCGAGAAGTTCGTTACATATATGTTGGTTGTTAGCACCAGCACGTTTCCTATTGTGGTACCAAGTCAGCACTTGGGCGAGATGGTAGAAAGATATGGGATTTTCGGGCTGATCGTGCAAAATCTGGATGCGATGCAAGAGCATTGCAGCATATAGAGTCGCATCGTGAACGTCCTTGTGAATGTCGCGTTGAAAATGGGCCCACGCTAGGTTGATGAGAGCGGCGACTCAGGATAGCCAACTGGACACTGTCCAGAACAAAGTGTAAGTTCTCTACTGTGACTTAACCATGGAGCGTGATGCCCCGCACGCAAGAGGGTGGGGCACATCATGGGTTGGAATTTACTAGAATGTTCATTACGACTTTGAGGAGGTATGCAGAGTATAGTTGTGAATGCCTGCATAAGATGGGGTTCGTAAACGAGGCCTGTGCATAATATATCAAAGACTCGTACCTACCAGTCCATGATTACGTCCAGGTGAGGCACTCATCGAACCTTACCTGCTCCAACAGCCTGCACAGAGTTGGTGCTATGCCTTGAGCTCTCACCTGTATTCTATCCAAAGACCACCGGTCTAACATCTTCGTGAGACGGTTGCAAGAATTCTTTTGACGCTTTGCCCTCCCTCGCAACCATGTCAGTGACAGAGTTGACAGCCCACACATGCATCACATCGGGACGACATCGGTGTATAAGCACGAGAATTCAGCCTTTATGTGCTTCGAGCATCCTTGATACACGAGCAGATTGTTTCTGATCTGTCGTTGAGAGGAAAGCTCTCACTTGCTTTGGCGTTGGTTTCGGATTGTAATTATTCGGTTCTCCGAGTCTGTGCTTCGTTTTTCTTCTGTTTTGCTACCAGTCTGGCCTGCTGATCCTGCAGCTCTTGCGCAAATGGCCTCACCAAAACATGCTGGGATCTTTTTCTGTGGGGGTGCGGATGCATCGATGATGTTTGAGTGAGTGCACGATAACGTGGAACACAAGATGCATATATACTGGTGACGTGTTACAGTTTATCGTGCTAGCATTCAGTACGTCTCTGTCGACGAATCTGAATAATGAAGGTCAGTGGCGGACATCAGGAGTATGAAAATAGCGTACATATGCTGTTAGCATAGAAAAATTTCCAGTCCGTGCTGTTGTCATGTAGCGGACGAGCAATTGAGGGCGGCAGCAATAAATCAGTACGACTATAGGCGAAGGCAAGTATCAAATGAATGCCTCGAGTAATTCGAGGAAGCTTAGAACACGATAGTATATCCGGTATTGACCGGGACCTTCGGGGGCTTCCGGTACGCCACAGCCACAATTTGTCACGTACTGCCTTCACAAAATTGATCGGCGTGTTGAGTTGCATGCATGTCCTTTTATTAGACCAGCTGTGCTCCTGTCGTAAGAAGATATATCCCCGATGCGTACATTCCCTTTCTACCTGGATTTATCATGCTGAAACACTTCAGTTTCAGATATCATATCATCCCTGACATGGACACCTTAATTCGGTAATGTAAGCGCTATATGGTCGTATTATATTAAGCACGCATGCGATTGTTATACGTCCACCAAGTTTCCCCGCTCACTCACTCCCATCCTCTGATAGTATGACTCTAGTTTCGAACGATTCCAGTTGGTGGCCGGTCATCAATGCGAATCTTGTTAGCAGCTATTTCCAAGGTTCGTGGAGAGCCAGCTGCACGATCACTGTGATGACTTGATTAACCCTGGCTGTTGTTTCATAGTTGCCG